TTTTTTTTTTTTTTTTTTTTTTTTTTTTTTTTTTTTTTTTTTTTTGGGTTTAACTTTGACAAGTGGCAGGGGGACCTCATTTGTCAATGAGCGAAATTCACGGCAGTGGAAGTGTTTTTTTTTTTTTTTTTTTTTAATGTCACTTGTTCATATTTCCTGAAAACAGAGGTTGAGGCCGGGAACCTCACAATTCAACCTGGAGTTATCCCGGCAGCATCAGCCGGTTTAGCTTATATTATCTTCCTCAAGCAAAGAGAAATCTTACCATGGACTGTTTTAACCACTCCTATTCTCCTACCACCTAGCCCCACCATCCTATAGCTCTCCTTCTCCCTTCTTGCCCATTTACCTATTTATCCCTACGCTTACCAGCCCCAGTCTACCTGTTCTATTAGCTATACACAGACCTACCTATCGGTCTAGTACCCGGCCAAACACGGCCGAGAGGAACATTGTTCCTTCTACTGTGTCTGGCACTCTCCATCCTCCCACCCTCGCAGCCTCCWGTGGCTGCCCACTGGAACCGAGTGCACCTGGTTCGCCTAAACTTCCTACCCCACCTACCCAGTACTACTCTCCTCCGCCATGTGACTTTCCCCCACTTCTCTACCTCCCCCTCTCAACCTACCACTCTGTGCTGCCGGGATTTAGCCTTCCCTCTTTCGATCCTCTTAGCCGTACAGCCAGGGGGACAGGACCAGTTTCCCCTCCAATGTAACAGCTGCCAACGGATTTGCTCTAGCCCAAGTGAACAGAAACCACCTTTTACCTCTGTCCGATCTGCCTCTGTCTGCCTTCCTACCCCAATCCGCTATGATCATTGTCCAAATCAAGGCTTTCGCTTTCTTCTTGATAGCCACGTCAGTGGAAGTGTTTGAGTGAGTGAGGGCTGCTTCACGGCAACTTCTTGCGTACAGGAACGAATCGGATTTGGTGTCCGAGTGAGGTCATACTCACACGGCGACCCCAAATCCGCAAAATATGCGGATTTGGGAAGGGCCTTTTTTTTTTTTTTTTTTTTTTTTGGAAAGCATCAACTCATTATATTGCAAAAAACATTGGGATGAGGCCGGGGACCTCACAATTCAACCCGGAGTTATCCTGGCAGCCTTAGCCAGTTAAGCTTACGAGCTCAGCTCGGTAACTTTAACAGTTCCAAATAAACCTGTCTACTCTGCTGAAAACCGAGTTTAGCATCCCAACTGAATTTAAGAACTTTCCAAAATTAAGCCTTGAAGCTCGAAAAAGAAGGTATTAGCTTGTTAGCCACACTCGGCTTCCAGCTAATCAAACCAAAACTTCACAAATCGATAGCCGGAAACCGGGTCCAGCGTCCCATTTTAAAACAGTACATTCCAGCGAAGCCTTTCAGGTGTGAAGCAACAGGACTGTGTTCCACAACCGCCACTAAACTTTCCAAATTAACAGCCTCATCCGACCCTCTCCCCCTGATTTCCTTCAGGGCGGCTTAAGCCAGTGGCAGATGGCCAGCTTCCTGTCCTGAGAAACTGATGCCAACCGATTATCCTTTGCCCATGTCTTATGAAACCAAACAAACCCCTTTTTTTTGCTCCTTTTTTTTGCTCCAATATCCCATCTGCCAATTCGCCATCATCATTTGTCGAATGTTTAGACAAACTTGCCATTGTTGTTCCTGTAAGGAGATCTTCGTATTTGTGAAAATCAGAGAATTTATCGCCCTCCATATATCTTGAAACAGAATCCCTCGACAAACTAAAGCAATATAACCCCATCCCTCCCTCAGAGAAGGATGCTGTATCTGAGGGATCCCATAAAGTATCCACTCGTCTGTCCATGGCCAACACTTACCAGTTACCAAATCCCAGTGGTTCATCCACCACATCCAGAGCTCATCTGACAGAGGACAATAGAGYCAGAGGTGGGCGTTGGATTCCCAACCCCACTCACATCTTTTACAGATTGTTGACAAATTCATTCCTTTTACAGAAAGCCACACAGCTGAAGCCACCACCAACAGTGATTGCAGCCATAACAGACTTGCTGACCTCTGCGATGGCATTATCATCAAGGCCTTCCAAAAACTCTTCCAATCTGGTTGGACTGAAGAGTCATTTCTGACCTTATACAGTCTTCTGTTGGCCAGTATTTCGGGGGTTTTCGTTACTGTAGCCCGAAGAATACCTGTTCCCACTTGGGTGTTACACTGTGCGAATGGTACCTTCCCCTGAAGTTGCCCCTTGGATATTGGCCAACTCTTGGTCCTTGGGTCCACCCTAAAGTTGTTAGCTGGACCCAGAAGTCTCGCCTGCTTAGCATCCTTCCCTTGCATTACTCTGGCCTCCTCACAATTCCTTGTTGAGGCAATCGTCTTTTCTGCTCCCCGAAGTAGCATACCTTGATCCGTCTGAGTACCCGTTATGACTCCTGGTATACCTTGATCCGTCTGAGTACCCGTTATGACTCCTGGTATACCTTGATCCGTCTGAGTACCCGTTATGACTCCTGGTAGTTGCCATTCTTCCACCCTTATACCTGTCGACAGATCTGGCCCCAAGACCTTCCATAGTTTTCCTTGTGCTTCTTCTGCAAACACCCAGGAACCTTCACGCTGTTCTGAGGGCCCTTTCATCCATTCTGCCCACCCATGCGGCATTGCTGCTTTCGGTTTTGCCCAATTCCTGCCAACGTTTTTCAATCTTGGCAGTTTTCTCCATAGCTGTTCCTCCGTTACCTAATCCTCTCCTTCTGCGTCCCAGACATGTTTTACTTGGAAGACCCTTTTTTCCACTTAGGATCTGGCAAAGCCGCCTGGCTCCCCGTTAGCCTTGAATGTGGTACCATCCTGCTGTCGTATATTCTGATTGTCAAATAGCAGTTGGTTGTATATCTCCCCTTTGGCTACCGGCTGGTTACAATCTTGAAGAAGTATCTTTTGCCAAGCATAAAGAATATCCCTCCAAATCCTAGATTTAGGCCTTCTATTAGCATATGAAGGCATTAACAAACACGTCTAGACGACATCTGGTTCCGAGAGGTTTCATTCGGAGCCTAAGATATATTCAACAATTCGAATCCACAACTTAGAGGGATTATCATACATAGCTTTTATGGGCCATTTAGACAGCAAGGCCAAGTTTTGATGGCGGGGGTCTAAAATTCCTAGCCCTCCTTCTGAACGTGGTAGGGCTATGGCCTCCCATGCGACTTTTGCCATGTAGGCTTCCTCTTCCTTAGCCGTTGGCTTCCACAGGTATTTAGCTGCGCATCTTTTAATTTGAGCATACGCTTCATCTC